CATTTTTTCCCCACCCCCCTGGGAATTCCGCTGTTTGGGGCGTTCTTTTCAATTCCCCTTCTCGAAAACTAACGCCTACGGTTTCTTCCCCCCCTTTTTTTTCTTGATCACTTTTCCCCTTCATTTTTTGCCACCGCTGTGTACAAGATGGCTCTAAGTCTTTAGACGGCGTCGGGTTCGCAGCAGTGTTTCCCCGGGCGCTCGTACGAGGGCATTTACTATCTTCAGCTAGCATTTTTATGCTGAACTGTATGCATTCTTGCGCACTTATTCGTATGCATCTATGCTGTGTCCATTTGTAGTAGTCTCAGACTCCCTTTTGTGTCTACAGGCTATACGAAAATTGATACATCTTCCCCTGTTCCCGATAAACTTTGGCTACGCCGATCTTACCAAAAATAAAGATTTGTTTTTTTTTTTGGGGGCCCTGGTATGTCGACGTACGGGGGAATGAAAAAGGCAGACACGCTGCCGGTCAGCAGTATATGACTACCAATTTCCTATCGAGGGTTTTCCATTTTCTGGACTATTTTGCTGCAATGCTACCCCCTTTTGCACCCCTTTTGGGAAAAAGTTTTGGGCAACTCTGCTCGGTAAAAAACTTATTCTATTAAACCCAGATAGGTTATGGCCGTCTTTTTTGTCATCAGTGCCGAGGTTGGGAGCCACTTCTCCCGCCTTCGCATTTGGCCCCCACTGTCTTTCTCTGGGTATCTCATGGAAGCCCCGTTCCTCTCTGTGAGCAGTGTCAAGTTCCAGTATCGATTAGCCACATTCTTTAGACGCCCTCTCTATCAAAGAGCAGCGAAATTACCTCCCAAAGTCTTTTTCGTTCTCCACTCTCTCTTTACCTTCCCTTCTTTCTGATGGCCCTCCCTTTTAATCCTGACTCTCTCATTGCTTTTTGCAACGACGTTTACTCCCAAACTTGATGATACTTTTCGCATCCCCTAGCCCCTTTTTGGTTTGTCCTTGTGCCCTTTACCCTTTCCCATCCCCCTGCCCGCTGTTATCCGTAACCTGTTGCTCATCCATCTCCCTTTTTTTCACCTGTGCCCTCGCTTCCCCCTTTCCCGCCCCCGCAGGGTTATAGTCCTTGTGGGTTAGCGCTCTTTTTGATTATAAAAATAATAAGTTACTGCTCCCCCCGTGTGCCCCGCCGGTTGGTTAGGGACCGAGTTTAGGTTTCCTTTCCGTGATTTCTTGAAAAACAGCCAGGGTCTATTGGGAATCCCCCTTATGGTTTTGAAAACACGAACAAAAACTAGGGGCATTTAGAAAAGTTTCGGTCCCGGGACCTTATCATTCTAACATACAGAGGTATCACTTCTAAAAGAGGGGGAAAATTTAGATGCGAGTGATGCATGGTGACCTAAGAATGCCATGAGGGATGGGCAGGTAACGATGAGATCATGACTCCTCGTTGTTGGGGTTTGGGGAGCTTGAGTATCTTTATGTAATGTTTTTTGAAATTTTGTGGTTTTCCCAATGTTAATTCTTTTTGTCGGTGCGGTGATTACGGGCTTCTGGGCACTGTCGGATTGAGGTCTGGGTTTAGTGAGAAAGTTGGCCTCATCCCGTTCATCAAGTGCCCCTTTTCCTTTTTTCACGCATTTTTTGCTATTTTAAACCCTGGGCACACTTGTCAAAAGCTTTGCGAAATTGTGTCACTACATCTGTATTTTGTTACTTCTACAGCATCCAGGACCTTGTCTAGTGGTCCCGTACTGGGCAGGCAGGAACAAACCGCTCTAAACCCGTGTTGCCCCGGGTTTGTAATTGATGGGGATCTAGGGGGTTTGGGTATCTTGCTTCTTAGAACTCTCTCAAAGATT